TATGAAGAGGATAGAGTGCAGGCATTTACTTGTGAATGAATTGATTCGAAGAAATGATAGCAGTTGCAATCTTTGATAATCATTCGAAAGTCGATCGTATTTCTTTCCTTTTCGAAATAATATCATGTGTAATATCGTTCACATCGATAAGTTCGCGTTATAACGAATCGATTGAATTCGTCGTTTTTATTCATTACATCGCTTAATGTAAGTCCAATTCAAATAATAACGAAGTATGTGTACATGCACGTATGATAATGTGTACGATATGATTACAAAATCAATGGAGGATCAATTTGGTCGAAAAAAAGGAAATTAATAATCGGCAAAACGGCGCATGTCTGAGGCAAACAACATGTTTAATCGATAAACGTGTCGTCGAAGTTATATCGTTTTAACTTTTAAGGATGTCCATCCCGCCACATTGGTACTGCGAGTTATTTTTCGATGACTAGAGGCATATATTTTTACGCGTTAGATCGCATCGTAACGACACACGATTATGGATACATATATAAAACATAAGACGCGCATTTATACGCATATATACGCAGGCACAGATGCTTTCACAACCCCGTAGACGCAATAATTCGACATAAAAAGAGGCTTCGAGCGGCCCGGTCGAACTGCCATGTAACGGGTGCGCGTTTCGTATCGTTCTATTTTTATCTAGTCTATCTTCCTTCGATTTTGTTCCCGTCGAATTTACCAGTAGAAGAAGTATACGTTGTTTTTAGCAGGCCTAAAAACGTTACTGCTGCTTTTTACGATCGTTAAGAGCACTCGTTCTTCTCCTTTATTTCGCTCCTCTTTTGCGCTGTTCTCTAGAACTTCCCGATTCTTTTTTTTATCCTGAATGATTGACTATCGATCGTTGAAAAAGGGCACAAAGAAATTAAAGTTTGGACATACGTGGTAATTTATTCGATGAAAATTATTTTTTATTCCTTCGAGGAAAGGAATGGCGATATATGTATTATAATTAGACGCACCATTCAAAATAATTAAAAGACTCTGTGTTTAACTGTTTATACCCAATATATTTTATAAATTCCCTTTAAATAAGACATAAGTATTATATCTAAAATGCTACGTTTCCCCTATATTTAATGTTAATGTTCGATTTATTTTTGTCAAACGATTAGAAATTTTTAAACTATTTTGAACAGAACACCTGATTAATTAGCTACAAAATAAACTTATAGCATTATAATATTATTATTGTATATTATACATCGTTTCTTCCTATAAAGCACGACATTCACTGTGTCAAAAAATTTATAAAATATTTAATTGTCAAAAAATATTATTTTAGAATAATTCTATTCAGATATTATATATTGTATTATTTAAACTATACAAATATGACTAGCTAATTTCTTCGTTTCATACGAATATCTAAGAATGAAATGAAGAAAATTCTTTTACAAAACTATTTCTTTAAATATAATATACTCTTGATATTAAATGTGCAAACCTGTTATCAGTCTCATTAACGACCTAATTGTTGATATTAATTGCTGTTTATTTCTTCTGTAAATATTTTCAATGTGCATCACCGATTCCTGTTATGCATTGTCACGTACCGCAATGTTTCTATCGGACATTATGCAAAACATAATTGTATGTACTTTCTACTTGTGAAAGACAATTATTATGTGCACATACATAATATATCTTTGGAAATATATCACACAAATTTTTGCACTTGTTTCTGATAACTCTTATATTGAAATATCTTTATGAAAAATTTATCAAAAAGTTGTTATAATAAACAAATTCTGAAAGCAATTTCGAATTAAAGTTAAATGCGGTTCAGAAAACTGAAAATCCGCAGAGTTCGATTCTGTACAGTATTCTCATATGTATTAAAATACATATTATGAAGAAAATTTGAATATTATGCAATATATCATTATTATATCAGTAAAACTTTACATTGAGAAATGAATCTCTTAAATTTCCTTTTATTATAATTGAATTTCATCCATCACATATTTTCCAATTAAAACAATATGAAATCAATCTATAAATAGTAGATATTAAAGAACTTTTGCACTTGTCACTGTGCATATAAAAGATATTTTTCAATTTCTTACAATTTCATACATTTTCACTTATCTGTCAATCTGATAAACAATGGAAAAAGAAAGTATTACTTGAATCACGCTTTTCGAATTTTTCGCGTGTAATTAAACGTTTCTAAACATCATTCATGCTCAGTTCCAATTTTCTTGCATTTTCACATTACCTCATAAGATCGTTTGTAGAAAGCTAATAAAAATATTGCTATCGTTGAAAATGTCTATGAAACTCGACATATAATGAATCGAACATCCAAATATAATTTATTTCTAATCGTGAACAACCAAAGAAAAAAATATTTGATAATGATTGAAAGCCGATTCACACTGCGACACGTCGAGTCTCGGCAATACATGCTAAAATATATCTATATAGAGAAGGATTTAATATATTGAATCTATTTATAATATTATATTCCTGTTATAATAATATTTGTATGCTACAATAAGAGCCTCCTATATGAATATTATTATAATTCACATTCTATACATATACATATATTAATACTATTAATATATTATATTTATATTATATATTATATGTGTATAATAATATTAATACATTGTCAAATATATAAATATTTATGATTCATCAACGACATGGCAACTGCATTTTACTATTGCCGCCTAGTGGGGATCGGCTTTATATTTTCGCAAAAGAATTATTTTTCTTTTGCATAAGAATTTATTTTTTAATATTTCAATCAAAGATATAAATATCGTGAATACTTTTATAAATCGAAAATGAATAGTGCAAAATTGAAATCGGGCATTCTACAATGTTGTGTATTCAAATAAAAAAATTATATATTTCCAAGACAATTATCCTTGGAAAGAAATACTTACTTGGAAGTAAATGACAGATAATTTTATTTGCTCTAAGCAAAATTGTTGTGTAAAAGGATTCGTACTATCGAAGAACCGATTTAAAATATTTAAATATTTTGAAGCTTTTGTAGTTGCTGGAAGTGTCTATCGATGCGTATGGTTAGCGATTACGAGGTTAAGAACTAATGGAGAAGATTGTTGTAATAAATTATAGGCATTTTCTTCGGTATGTGACGTTACCACACAAATATAGATTAGTAACGCACAAAATGTTACAGTAAATTGTATTCTAAGGATGTAACAAATAATTGTAATGTTTAAACGAGCAGTAACCGTATATGTAATCTGTTTGTTTAAAATAAATACCCATTAAGTGTACAAAATAACAATTCCGACCTATACTGTGAAGAATTAATAGAAATACACCTCTAATTAAAATAATTACTTTGGATTAATTTTTTTATTCTTTGTTAATTATAGATATCCATGCCATATATAATATTTATAATAAATAAATTATAGATAAATTATACATGCAAAATTAAATATATAATAAATTTTTTTTTAAATATAAAATTTAATAAAGATGGTGTTCCTTTGATTACTTTCATACACGGCAGATGTCACTTCTGTCGCTATAAAGTGAATCATCAGTTAATATTTGTTTCGTGCCATGTATTTCTAATTGTTAAATTATTTTACACTGTGCTTATTTTATAATATAAAATTTTGTGCTACATTGGAAAGAATATTTTTTATTTGAATTTTTTGAAATTTAATTCGTAATGGGTAGAAGATATTATTGTGAATATTGTGACAGATCGTTTAAGGATGACCCAGAAGCCAGAAAAAAACATCTTTCAAGTTTGCAACATGCAAAAAATCGTGCAGATCATTATAATATGTTCAAAGGTAATTATATTTATTAAAAGTAATTATATTTATTAATTTTTTATTGATAAAATATTTTGAAGATTTGATAAAATGTATATATATCGATCATAACCTCAAAATCACTTGTTTTAATATTACTAATATAAATTTTGTTTATTTTTTATAGATCCAGAAATTATTTTAAGGGAAGAATCTACAAAGATACCATGTAAGTGGTATTTAACTAATGGTGAATGTGCATTTGGTCTTGGTTGCAGATATTCCCATTATACTCCTCCTATGATATGGGAACTTCAACGTCTTGGTATTATTCATAATAATTCAATGATAAATAAAAAGAATATCGCACAATATTTTTATATAATTTTTTTTTTACAGTTGCTATGAAAAATCAATCAAAATTGAATATAAATCTTGAAAATGGCTGGCCAAATCCTGACGACATAATTAAAGAATATTTTGAGAATAATACAAGCGCAAGCACTACAGATGATTTTACATATCCTAATTGGCATAGACCATCAGAGCTACGTGATTATTCTATGCTATCACCATCGTTATGGCCTATTACACCTGAAAGTTTAGCAAATACTACGAGATTTGAAGAATGGGGTTAAAAATGTAAGGAATATAACGTTCCTTGTTAAATTAAATACATATATTTAAAACTCATCCAAAAGAGTAAATAATATATGATATATAAACAATTTAAATATATAGTTTTTCAAAAAACTGAATATTTTGTTAATAAATGAACATATAAAATTAGGACATGTGTTCAATCTTTTAAATAGGAAATATTATTGATAATATTATACTTGTAATAATATTATTTATTTAATAATTAAAATAAAAATTAGGAAGAAAACAAATAGTTTTTTGGTATTTTTTTTGATTAAACAGATGCACCATCTTACGAGGCAAGAATGAATCAGACTCGGTACTGTTCGGTATTTGTCGGTAACTTCCGTGACTACCATCTGTCCTCCATCATCCCCTCCACCAATCACCGATCAGAAAGGCGAGCACACAATGAACTCCGGTACACCGTCACACAGTAGCGAAGCACCCGTTGCCACGATAGTTTGGCATTTTAACGTCGTGTTCGGCGCGCCGCCGTGTCGTTTCAATTTAAAATCGAATTTAGTGTATGTTTGCGAGTCGAGAACTGTGTTACGATTATGAGATTGACTCGATTGCGTGACTCGTGTGAATTTTCGTTGGTGTGCCAATCAGAAAGTGTTTGAAACTTCTC